CAGTCGGTTAAGCATCTGACTTCGCTTAGGTCACCATCTCACAGTTCGTGGTTCGAGCCCTGCATCGGGCTCTGTGCTGGCTGCTCAGAACCTGGAGCCTGCTTTGGATTCTGTGTCTCCGTCTCTCTCTGCCCCTCCCCCGCTCATGCTCTGACTTTCAAAAGTGAATAAACATTGAAAAAGGTTTTTTTTTTTAAATAAATAAATACATAGGACACACTTGCCAGTGCTTCTTATTATCCTCCAGGGTGAGTGGCCCTGATGCACAGATACACAGCCCGATGCAGCCCCATGGCCTGTGACAGGGAATTCAGGTCATCATTGAATGCCTCTGTCCTCAGGAGTGATGGGCAGGGTTGGTGCAGGCTTGCGGAGCTGGGATAGCCTTTTCTTCCTATCATATCAGAAATAAGTGTTTCTTAGGAAACTGCCAAGTGTGCCTAGTACAGCAGAGCGGGGACAAAGTCCAGAGCTACGGCACCAGTCATCCCTCTTCAGCCGTTCATCTCACACATTTACGGAAAATCACATGCCAAGTGCCATTCTGGGCTCTGAGGGTTCCAAGATGAATGAGCCTATCCTCATGTGCAGGAGGCTCAGAAAATTACACTGCTCTGGAGGCAAAGAAGACAGGGTACCTAATCCAGCCAGAAAGGGAGGGGCAGGCGGTGAGATGGAGCTTCCTGGAGTTGGTGATTCTGGTCTGAGACTTGAAAGACAAGTGGGATTTAGCCACACAAGAGGCTAGGATCGGGGTGGTGTGGAGACGGAGGAGTGTTCTGCATGTGGGACAGCCAGGAGATGCTCTCTGGTGAGGGTCAGGGAAGAGGTGAGCAGGATACAAGCAACCAGACTCTTGTTAGGAAGGGAAGAATAAGGCAGGGCGGTAAGAAACAAGACTGAGGTAGGTAAGAACCTGATTATGGAGCGTCTGTTATCCCTCATAAGAGAACTTAGCTTATAGTCCCGTGAGTGAACTGGGGAATATGGCGACCTCGACCAAGAGCGGGAACAAATATAGGAAGTCTGAGTCATAGTGGAAAGGTTGAACTGCGTGCCTCCTCTTTAGGCAGGTTTGAGAGACCTGCCTAAACCTTGAGGAGATGGGTGTAGGAAGTCAGGATATGGGCTCTGATTAAACTGAGAATGCTGGCAGGAGCCCTGGAACTCGTGAGGGCTACCTCCAAGTGCGGGTAATTACAAAGACACGTGGAAGCTGTTGGGAATTGGGACAGCCTGGGGCTGGTAAGCTTTCCACGTCTCGTGGGTCACATGGTCTTCCTGAGGCTATCTCCCCCTCTCCCTGCATGTTCACTCCAGTCTCTGCTGCCAGCCAGATTCTTCTGCATCTCAAGTAAAGATTGGCCCAGCTCAGTTGACTTGTGACAGGATCACTGTTAAGAAGGCTTGGCCGCCAGACCATCCTTCGGCATAGGTGGGATGGTTCAACTTAGGATGAGCTGCTGTCAACTGATGTCTTTAAGATATTCTTACTCACCTTTGCTGAATCTAGAGTCCCTTCTCAAATCGTGCGGAGACTCTCAATGAGGGAAGAGATGATGGCATTAAAGAATGCAGTGACCTCAGTTCTCTGGAGACAAGACGATGTGCCAGGGATCAGAGTGCAGCCCAGGTGGGAAGCCTGTGTCATGACAGTTCTTAGTCAAGCCCTTGATTTGGAGGATGGAGACCACAATGTAAGCCCGTTAGGTCACTAGTCTTCTCTGGTTTTCCCATCCCTCTTTAGCCTGAACTTCCAACCCCCGTTCATCACCCTCTTGTGAGAGACACTTGTCCCAGTGGAAAGAGACTAGGCTTTCCAGTACACTCTTGTGTTCAATCCTGGTGCTTCCAAATATCAGCTGTGGGGCTTTGGCAAGTTACTTCATCTTCCTGAGCCTCCGTGTCCTCAAGAATATGTATAAAATTCTATCAGATCCCGTTTCTGTCCCCTTACTGTCCCCCTACCATACCCATATAACATGTATGCATACCCATGTGTACATACATGTAATACAAATGTAATAGACATTGGCATTGCAGATGCTCAATGCTTGAAACAGGAGGGGCAGCTGTGAGGCTGACATTGTCTAACTCACCTCTCTGAATCCTCTCCTCTCCGACTAGCATAGAAACAGTCTTCCTGTAACTCCAGCTTCTTCACAGAATTCTCTGTCTCTGACTGCACCATCTGCCATGAGCCTTCAGTCCCGAAGGGCTATTTCTCTTCTCCCGTGTCCCACCTGCATAGGGTGAAGAGATGGTACCTGGCTTCCACCCTTGTTTGTAAAGTCCCTTTCACATTGAACTCCATGCCAGTGGGCTCTGTCACTCCTTCTCACTATTTTGCTACCATCTGTGGCCATCTCTTCTCTGAGGATTTGGGAATCTCTGCTCAAATAACCTAGCACCAGGTTCACTGCATATAGAGGTTTGCTGCTGGGAGCACCCCACTTCTTCCCACGCAACCATGGGTCCCCCTGTGCTCCTTCTCATAGCTGCTGCCTGTACAGGTCTGTTTGCACATTCAACAGAACAAACCCGTGCCCTCTTGTGCACCAGGCTCTTTGCTAGGCAGTGGGCTGCAAATGTTGAACCAGACCTATGAGGTCCCTGCCTTCACTGAGCTTATATTCTTCCTGGAAATCCTTTCTCTTTCCTGTAAATGTGTCCCTACACCCTTCAAACAACTGCAAGCATTTCCCATCCTTAAAAATACGTCTTTCTTCTTCCTGCTTCCCTGTTAGCTACCACCCACCCCCTCCTCTAGTCGTCTCCTTCCGTCCCCTGAACAGCCTTTTCCCCACTGCAGTTCGTGCCTGTCACTGTGCTAAAACTACCTATTGATGAGAATTCCCAAATACCAACCATATCCACTGAAAATTTGCAGTTCTTATTTTGACCTCTGTGAGGCATTATTGGAAAGTACCAGTCACTTCTTCCTTAAGGATTCTCCTTTCCCTTTGCTGCCATGATCCAACCCCTGCTTCACTGGGTGACACCTTTTCTCCCCAGTCTCCTTTGCGTCCTTCTCCTCCACCTTCCATGCTTTGTGTTCTGTTCTGTCTTGAACGTTGGTCTTTGCTATGGTTCTCTTCTCAGCCATCTTTTCTCTCTCCCTGCACTCTTTCTGGGCGGTGGTAACCAAATCTATGTTTTTATTCCCACTTTTACACAGGAGTCTGGAAGCTGCCTCAGCTCCAGCAGGCCCAGCATGAAGCTTTCATTGGCCTTACCCTTCCCCTGCACCCTCTCTTTCCCCTGCACCCTCTCCTTCTCTGCACCCTCTCCCCTGCACCTTTCCCCTGCACCCTTCTCTTTCCCATGAATGCTCTCTTTCCCCTACACCCTCTCCTTGCCCTGAACCCTCTCTCCTACACCCTCTCTTTCCCCTGCACCCTCTCCCCTGTACCCCCCTCCTTCTCCTGTACCTCTCATTCCCCTGAGCCCTCTCTTTCTCCTATAGCCTCCCATTCTCTCCTCCTCTCCTGCTCTCATAGTCAAAGACTTTCATCTGGTCTTTTCCAAACCAAAACAGTTGCTTGGCTTTTTAAAATCTTTAAGTAACTTTTTATTTGCATAAAATATACAGGGGTCCAGAGATAAAGAGGTCATAATCTCTATCCTTGGGAAACTCTTGGTCATGGCTGGTCACGGGCTTGTAAACAAATGCATCCCAAGCATGTGGGAGATGTACCGATAGAAGCAGGTGCTGTCTGTTGGGCCATCCAGGTGTGAGATAAGGTGGCAGTTGATGAAGGTGGCATTTGTGACTTATTGCTCTCCTGCTGACACCCTGGGCATCCTCCCAGTAATCTGACCTTTATTCAATTAAACTGTGGCAAGACAGATTTGTGGGGGATGGGGAAAGGTGGAGGGTGGGGGTTGCCCTACCCAATCAATATGCATACAGGATGACTTCACTGACACTCCCAGTATCTTTATGGCTTAAATGAGGCCTAACTCAAATAGACCTGAGTCTACCCACAAAATTAGCCTAGCCCAGGACATACCCAAAGCTCACATTTTTTTCTCTATTTATATATTCAGTATTCTGTAGTGTTATCAACATGATCAGCATAAGCATATCTAAAAAATAGACTCTACAACAGCAGCTCAAATATTTCTGCCCATTAAAATGAGAGTTCGGCTAGATCTGGGACAGGGTGGCCAGCTTGTTCCCTCTTGTCTCCTTCTTCGCTCCCCACAATACCGTGTCCTGCATCCAAGCCTGCATCCCGTAGCCTTGCCCTTGGAGAGCTTCTCTTCCGGCAATGCCAAAGACAAATAGATTCCGTAGATGCATCCACCCGCCCCTCCGGCTTCTGCTCCCATAGGTTGCCTCCCTGTCCATGAACTTGGGCTCACCCGGATGACAGGTAATCGCCACCCTGATAAAATGTTAACCCAGCAGAAGGGAATGGAGACCACGCTTCAGAATGTACCTCAGCAAACTGGGTTCTCAAGGGGTTTGTGGAGCTGCCAGCGATAATTCTAGCCAGGAGTCAGGAGACCACGGTCCTCCTGCGGTAGATAGTTGCAAGCTGGCCTACTTTACTTGCCTGGCTTTCTTGACTCTAAAGTGTGCACGGGGTGGTCTGTGGATAAGTTTTCAGCACATGCCTCCCCAGCTCTGTGCAGGGCTTCCTTGGTTTATCACTCAGGCTCTGGTTTAGCGACACTGGAGGCCCACCCACCCCCAACATGCCTGATCCCGTTACCATCTGTCCCGTCGCATAGCCAGCCTGGTGAGTCTATGTGTGCCCTTTCATCCGTCTGCACCCCGGGACAGCAGGAGTGCCATGAGGCCAGGGACTCGCGCGGGGCTCGTGCTTGTCACCTATCCCCATATCTGGGCATGCTAGCCCTCCATACGTGGCAGCCGAGTGAACTGTTGGCGTGGTGGTTCTCCATGGCCCCTTCAGCCTGGCCGTGCCCTGGCCATGATGGGCAGTGGGTTTTTTTTCTGCTGTCTCACATCCGCTCATCTGTCTTTTCAGGGGCCCAGCAGCCGGGGCTGCCATATTACACGGACCCTGGAGGACCAGGGATGAATCCTGCCGGGAATGCTATGGCGATGGCTTTCCAGGCCCAACCCAACTCACCCCAGGGAAGCACAGCCTACCCACCGCCCCCTTCTTACTGCAATACGCCCCCGCCCCCATATGAACAGGTGGTGAAGGCCAAGTAGCAGGGTCACCTGCCTGTGCGACCTCACAGGGGAACAGGGGGGGCACTGTCACTCCACCTCTCTGTCCCCATCAATGTTTGCTTCCAGGAATTGTCTTCTGAGCCACTAAGGGCAAATTCCTCTTTGATACCTTCAAATCAAGCACAGCCCCCTTTCAAGTGTTCCATGGAGGACCGATATTTGAATTCACCCTGTGTCTCCTCTGTTACTTCTGTTTCTGATGTAATCCAAGCTCTGGCAGAGTGTGGACAGTCCCCGAGGGTTGACACCTTAGATCCTCGGGGAAGAGACTAAGGAGGATGAGGCAAGGCAGGGCTGGTGTGTGCAGGAGAACACAAGTGAGCACACGGAAGGGACCGCTGCTAGCCTTGACAGCTTCCTCCCAGGCACGCAGCAGGCAGCTCGTGGAAACGAGGCCCCACAGGCTCCACTCTTTGAGCCCCTCATCCTGTGGGCCTTCCTCTTCAAGAAGCCGTTAGACTTGTGGTGTAGAAGAAACTTCTTAGCACTTTCTATCTCCGTTTACTTCCTAAGAATGAGGGAGGCCGCCCTTCTGCACAGCCAGGGCTAGAAGAGCTCTCTTCCTCAAGATGACAGGATCCAGAATCCGGCCAAGTTGGATGTCTACACTTACCTGAAAATGACTAAGTAAAGTTACTTAAGTTTATGAGGAATTTCTCTCTGCCTCAAACTGGGACATTGCATTTTATGAGCTCTTGGTCTGACTTGGCAGAAATAAAATGTTTCCCCGTTTTTTAGTGAGCTTGCGGACACTCCTGTAGAGAGAGTCCTGTCCTTTGAGGTCAGACTCAGAGTGTCTTTTCGGACTGGGAGCCACCCTCTGGCTTTGTCATGACCAGAGGTCTCCACACCCTTCCCCGAGGCAGCCCCGGCAGTGGGCTGTGATGGACATTTGCAAAGCAGAGAGGCACATCTGGCTGGGAAGTCACATCAACCCCTGGGAGAGAGGAATCCCAGCAGGGTCTGGCCGGAGGTTTTGAGCCTGGGGCAGCAGGCCCCTGCAGTGGTTTGTTTGATCTCAGCAGAAGTGTGTGTCTGACAAGGGGAAAGCTTGCTGGAAAAAAAAGAGGAATGCAAAATCCCAGGACTGCAGGAAGATCTCTTCAAAAAGTACAGAATAGATCTCACTGACAACTAAATCAACATTAGAATAGAAGATGTGGTTGGAAATGCAAATCCTGGCTAAGAAACAGATCTCACCCTGGGATCCAACAGTAGCCCTAGTCACCGGGATGCAGGGAGGTCCTGTTCCTCTGCAGTTAGTGATGCTGACAGTGCGTTTAAACCCAGATTGAGATCTGACCGGTTGTGTATAGGAAGGCAGAGCAGCCTAGCCAAGGTGGGTAGATCCCTGTGTGTGTTTAGTAGTGGGATAGGGTGGGGGGCAGGGGCTTATTTTTGTAATGAGCTAATTGGAGCCTCTTGCGAAATTGTTACGCATTGAACTTGAGCAATTTTGTTACTCATTGAACTTGAGCATGGGAACATCCCGCTGCAGTGGATGCTGAGTCCCCCAGACCAGGAGTCCCTTTCCTACTGGGATCTCTGTATCAGGGGAGGGCGTGAAATCGGGATGGGGCCGCAGTGACGGCTCTGACTTACCTTCCCTCTAAAGATGGAGAGTCTGCCAGCCTCCCAGGGAATTCCACAGGAAACGCTTGGAGCCACACGAACACCGTTGGAAACACAGTTTATAAACACAGATGCTGCTGCTGGTGTCTTTCAGCCACCCTCCTGTGACCTCTGAACTCCTGTCCCGGACTGCAGTTCCTCCCCACACTGGAGTCCTGGATTCAAGTGAGACAACAAAGCACAACGTTGCCGTTTACAACCAAGGACAACCACAGGGGTCCAGAAGGTTCCTCTTCCTCCAGCTCATTCGTTTTGCACTTTTAGTTTGAATTTCTCCCTTCCCTTTTTTTTTTTTTTTTTTAAATAAGCACAGTAAGAGATGCCCCTGGAATTGGATCCGGGTGCAGTTGAATAGGCACCCAAATATCCATGACTTAATTTTGTTTATCTTTTTTGATAGCAAATGATCTCAGAGACTGGATGATTTAGGTAGTGCTCAACCACTTTGTATTTTGTGTTTGTGAAGAAAAATTTCGTTTTCCCTTGAACCTGGATGAGAACCCTGCTACAGTGAACACCCATACTGTGTGTAGAAATTCCACATGTGGTGACATTTCCTGGCCATTCTCATTTCCTCTGTGCCGTCAGTGGACTGTGTCCCCCTCCCGGAGTGAGTCCAGCTCCTGGCGTGTTGATGTCTTAGAGAGTCAGTGGTTAGGAGTAAACCGGGAGCCAATCTGTGCTTGTGTTCTCTCTGCAACATTTGGCTTCTTTCGCTTTTCTGTTCTCTTTTGATAGGGTCCTGTTTCCTATGTATGCAAAATAAAAAATAAATTTGGGCACGTGCTTTGATTGTTTTTCTGGGAAGGGGAAAAGCAGGTGGAGATGATGTTTCTAATGAAGAAGGGCGTACAGAAGGCCCTGCTTCAGCCCGGTGAGGGTGGAGCGGAGTGGGGTGGGTGACCCACTCAACCTCAGGAGCCCCAGAAATTAGATGCTGTCAAAGAACATTTCAGGAAGGTTTGGTGCACCAACATATTTGAAAAATCTAAGGAAAAAATTATCTGAAGTGGAAAGGCAGAAGCATTAATGAGCTAAACTCACAGGTGATACCAAGGTTAGTTATCCAAAGGGCCTGGATCTGCTTTCCATAGGTAGCTGATTTTAACGATGCTGCTCTGTGGGGTCAGAAACTGTATTTCTGTCACAGATCTATGGAAGGATATAGTTGCTACGGGCAGGCTGCATTTTAGATGAATCATTAATTGAGCTGATGTTTATAAAGAAGCATTTTGTCTGAAAACAGTACAGGAAATAAGCCAAAAGAAGTCACGCAGCTTGCTCATGGTGAAGTCTAGGCTAATTTACACACCTAACCTGGATACCTCATCAGGTCGTCAAACTTCCCCCAGTAAACTGGAAGCAGCCTTATTTCCAAGTCAAAGGTCATGACTTGAGAAATGCAAACTGACTGCTCACTTATATCTGTTCCTCCCAAATTTCACTGAACCTCAAAAAAACCTGTAGTGGCTTTCACGGTGAAAACGTACAAGAACAGAAATTCTGAGTGATTGCTGAAATAGAAGATGGCAGGGAGGATTGGTTGAGAAAACTTGAAGCTGAAAATGTTCAGAGAAGGTGGCTGGGGAGGTGAGAGCTTTACAGAGACTCCACAGCAAGGCCAGCAGGTGCAGAAGGCAAGCATGGCCAGGGCGTGCACCTGATGGGTGTTCTGGAGAACAGCTATGCCTGGGGTGCTGTGTTTTCTGCCCCTGGCTCCCAGGTGAGGGGAATAGCTAGCTGCAGGAAGTGATGGCCCTGAAGCCTGCTTTCTCACAAAGGGGGCGCTCTGCATCGTAAGGTGTTGGGAGGTGGGCTACCCACCATTAGTTAACTTTCACAAGTGAATTAGGCATTTTCGAATGAATCAGTCAATGAAAACACTTTTAGTCTGGGCTACCATCCCTTTTCCACGGTCCCCAGACCTTGATCCAAGGTCATAGGGAGATCCCTTGCAAAGTGGAGATTCAAGGACGTGGGACAAATCATGACCCAGTCACCAGCACCACAGATCCAGAAGTTTTCTCTGGCACCAGAGGAAAGGAGCTCAGCCAAGCTTTCTCCTGTCTTGTCCTACACCAGGCTTTCCACCCAATGGCCAAGCATCTCAGCCTTAATAGTTTGAGTTCTCAACTTCTAATCTTCTTTGAATGCCAAAGAGGAGAGCACAAAGTAGACGTGAGGGCAACCCACATGGGCATAACTACGCGATGTGGTATCATGTGCTCTGAAGATGCACCCACAGCCTTGCTCAAGTCCTGAGTCTGCTGTTTGTTAAAGGTGTGTCTTCAGACAAATGCCTTCAGTTTCAGTCACTCAAATGATTGCAAGTCTGTTTCCTCAACTATAAAACAAGAATGATACCACCTGTTGCTTACACCAGGCGTGTCCCAGGCACACTGTGGATATTCAACAAATGTTTAAAGTCCTCTGTTCTCCCTCATGCTCCATTTCCTTGAGGAGGAAAAATTGAAGCACAGTGGGAGAGAAAGTGAACTCCCACCCAATCCTTTGTCCATCTGTCAGCAGATGAGACCCAAGGTGTAGGGGAGAAGATCTTTGAATACATTCTCCATGTATTTTCCATCTTTCAGACAGACCTTGATTACGTGAAGATAGACGACAAAGGATGTCCCATACACCACCACCCCACATGTCACCGTAGTGTTCTCCTTAATGGTGAGTGATGCTCAGTAATGGATTTTGAGCCAGTCAGAGCTGGGAAGGAAAAACCTGGGGCAACCATCTTTTTTCCTCACCATTTATTTAAGATGAGATTGGTGAGCACCCCAGAATAAGCCATGAATTATATAAGCAATCAATTATAAGCAATCTCTTATAAGCAATCGTATTACTTTGGGTATTTCTTTTGCTGTCTCCTGACCCCCCACAACTTTTTACCATAATGTTTCTGTTTTGGATTGGTTGTCTTGCACTGTCCAGGAAAGATCCTGCTCCATTTCTGGACACAAAGCCCCCCTAAAAATGGTGTGGTGGGTGCAGGGATGATTATCAACATGCCTGCCTCCCCTCCACCACCCCTGAAGAAAGGTGAAGGGAGGGAGTTCTTGTGCAGGTCCCAAGAGTGTAATGAGGGAGAGGAGCATCACTCCATCCCTTTTCATCAGTAACAGGAATGCTGGAGAGAGCTGTTTTCATCTCTCTCTCTCTCTGGACTCTGGAAATCACAAACAACACCGAGGCCACCACACCCCTGGTACTTTTAGATGCCTTTAGATCGATATCCTAGTCCAGCATCATCCATCAAAGCACACTGGGAGCCAAATATGTTACAGTAAAATTTCAGTAGCTCCATTACAAAGAAAAAAAAGTGAAATTTATTTTCG